CCATTGTGAGGAAGGGTGCTATTGTGGTTTAGTTCAGTGCATTAAAAACGTCTAGATCGGATTCTGTGTTCAGTGATAGATTTGGTGTGTGTTCTTGGGCATGTCACTTTGTGCATCAGTTTTTCATGTTACCCTGACATCTGTAATGACAAGTTAATTCAGGTCAATGATGGAAGCAATAAAGTAGACTAGGAGGACTGGGTCAATGAGATTCAGCAAACCTATACATTAAATGAAAATAAAAAATATATGTACAGTTATTTACTGTACGTAAGAACAAAGCCCTATTTAGCACCAGTATTTCACCTTTAATGTTAGATCTGCATTCACCCACTTTATTGATATGTGGTAACAGCTGATTGGAAGTAAAACTGAGCAACCAATTCTTAAGGGAAAAAAATATTAGGCAAATGTGCCTCTTTTTATAGTTAATTAAAATATCTGTCCCTTGTTACATACAATTTTCAGATGTATTTTCTTGAAATGTTTTATCTGAAAAAAATGTCAGCTCCCAAATTCTTAGCATTTCATGGAGTGTTTAATAATCACAATTCTGTATTTGGATTCTGTGATTGATCAGTTAAATTATCTGGCATTGTTCTGTTGTGTGAATGGGTGAAGAAACTTTAGAAACACTGTATCTGTGTGAATCACATCTTGTTCCTGATTAAATAAATCTTGGTTATATGCCCAAATATGCTTCCCACAAACATTTATGCCCATTAATTTTCACTTGCCCCCCAAAATGTATGTAAGGTGCATGTAGCTGTGTACTTATAATTATTTATTTTCCTTACTTGCATACCACGAGTTACAGGAGAGGTATAAGGCAGACAAGGTTCTTTTATTAGACCAATTCAAATAGTTGGAAAAACCTATTGTCCTATAAACAAAGAGAAGGCTTTGACCCATCTTTGATTCAATGTGAGTGCATCACTTGGAAATAAGGGGACATGCTTATTTCTTTGTAATACTAAAGAGAAGGTCACATAAACTAAGGTAACTGTAGATGGCAGTCCCAGCAGAGGACAGGACTGCAGCTATTTGACAAAGCATGCAAGCGAGTGCTTAACTTTAAGTAAGTCCCACTGAAGTCATGTGCTTAGCTGTTTGACCAAATCATGGCCCACATGGCTACAGAGAATGAAGTAATACTTTAGTCCTAAGGATGTTTCTTAGCAGGAGAGTTGAGGCGATAGAGTAGGAGTGTCTGAAGCTTGATTTAGGTATGTAACATTGAAAATGTGGACCATATTGTGTCTTTCAAAGATAACACTGCAAGTATTTTTGTTTGCCTTTGCACGACTCCCCAGAACCCCCAGAAAGATTCACTTCTTGCTGCCCTGAGATTTGGAATCCATTTAATAGAATCTTGAACAGAGTGTCTTTAACAAAGCTGCTATGTACGGGAGGGCAAATGTGCATTCAGTGTCGCACAGGTCACGAGAACTCTGAAACCGGACACCCACTGTGAAAATATTCTATTCAAAGCATTTTTGTGCGACATATGTTAAATTCACCTTCCTGAATGGTATTCTTGGCTTTGCCAGTACCAGAAACCCAGATGGAGATGTCATTGACTTTTTGAGAAAATAAAGACTTTTTTAATTGGCTTGATCTCTTTTATTCCACACAACTGTGCTCATAGTAAAATAAACATTTCAGTTGACAGTTTTAAAACCTCCTAGGCAAATAATGCATCTGATGCATGCACATACTCTCTGTCCAGTATGTTGAAATAGTTCTCTGCAAAGCGTATTTAGATGGAATGATTGTATTTATTTTTCACTTGGCTTTAAACATCCCAGAATTCTTTTTATCACAAGAAATTATCCTTTCCCATCTTTCAAACACGCCATTCTATTTAGCTGTTTCCAAGATGTTCTCACAAGCTTATCTTTTTTTCTTGCCTTTTGCAAAAGATGAATTGGTACTTCCAGCACCGAGGCTGAGATTCAGAGACTGCCTTCAGTACAGACCTCCATTTAATCAATCCAAAAATAATCTCTCCTAGGCACCTGGGTCTCTTAGTGTTTCAGTCCAGATGCTCTTAAATTAATTTGGGATGTTGTTAATCTAGCACAGAAAGGGTGCAAGAACAAAAGGTCACTTTTGATAATTAATCCCTGTGTTTCAAGTTCCACAGTTGTTCCTTCAAGGAACAACTGTAAAAATGATTCCTTTCTAAGCATGTTATTTATGACCTGGAAATTGGAATGTCCTACAGGGGCAACAGGTCTCAGAACTTCTAAACGGAGGGAAGGGAAAGTAACTTGTGGTATGGTCTATCATTTATTATTATGGTGGCAAGGTACATGGGAAAACAGAGTAGCCTAGCAATGTTGGCAAGTGCATTCTTTCCCACTCGTGCTGCTTTTGAGTAACAAAAATTCAGCTCATGCTCTTTAATTAGGTAGGACCACACTGTTACTTTTGAAAAGGCTTCTAGCACCACAGTGGTCTGACACTGAAAAAATTTGCAACACCTCTGTCAGCACATCAGCTTCAGAAATACCCTGTTTTTTCCAGATGATTAAAACAGGCTCATTGGCAAAAAAGCACAAATGACTTCACCCTTCCAAGCGCACACAGCAAGATTCTGCTCCACTTATTAGGCATGTAAGTGGACTTAGGTGGCTAAGTGTGATCCTGTTCTGCCATTCTCACGTCCCTGGCAGGTTTGGTGGGTTCTTCTGTTCTTCAGTGCTTTTTTGTGACTCAAGTCTTAAGGAAAAGTTGGTGTGTTACAAAAGTAAATACATTAATGGATTTTCAGGGACTCAAACACAGTAAAATAGAATCACACTGGGTCCATTTTCATGCCAAATAAATGGAAGAGAATCTGGCCCACAATGTTCCCACAGGCCCTGGCAGATGTTACATTTAAAGGGTGATTAATGCATTAATGGAACAATACATTGTAACACACTACAGGTTCAAGCAGTTATATTGCCCAATAATGAGTTGCAGAAATGGTGATCCAGCCTCAGAGATGTTACTTGCTAAATGTAGAATATCTTTGCAGCTCGTTTGTAATTTGTATGTGTAACATGTTATCCATGATAGTTTGGCTAAGTCCTCTTTCCCCATCCTCCTACTCTGTGACTCATGCTGAACTCTGCTGCCCCAGGGACCTCAGCAGGAGATGTCATGATTCACCTCCTTTCTTCCTTTTCCCTAATTGGCCTTCATGGCTGCTTCTTTAAGGAACTGTTTGGCATCTCTTCCCTGTGAGAGCCAGGATGTGAACAAGCACTCAGCATAACACACTTTACTTGCACAAGATACGAATATTTTCGGGAGAAAGGAAAAGCACATACACAAAGGCACTTCATAAAATGTCCCTTGAGACTTCAGTCCCCCAGCCCTTTGTATGGGTCTCTCCTGCTCTACTCAAGGGTCATGGGAGTAGCTCTTTCACCTGCACCAAGGGGGAACTCAGCTGTTGAGATCATTGCTCACTTCTCATAAGCAGTGCAGATGAAGACAGGGAGCATGTAAGGGTTGGGGGTGAGAAGCGACAGACCTTGCATGCAGCTCTCTTGCTCCCTTTACTGGTGAGTGTTTGTAGAGTAGGGCTGTGTGTAGATGAAATGAGGGGCAAGTGTACATGACACTTTAAAGTGGGCTAAATGCTTTTGCACCGCTTTAATGGTGTTAGTGTTTGCATGCCTGGTGCTTCCCTCAGCAGCTTTGGTGCCCCCTGGGACTGCCCGAGCCAGGTGCCTGCAGGTGGGTGCTGCCTTGTGGGGAGCTGCCACTGCTGCAGAGGGAAGTACCAGCCACACCCCATAGCCCAAGGACTGCTCTGCTTGCCAGCAGCTTGCCCTCCCCTCCCCGCTGCTGGACAGCCAGGTAAGTATGTGCGGGTGCGTGCACAACGTGGGGGTTTAAAGGGCCCTAAATTGAAGCAGTGTTTTTAAAAACCTACCATTTCAATTTAGGGTCATTTCGTCTACGTACGCCTTAAGTTCTCAGCGTGCATTTTTCCCTTTCTGGATACCTTGTTCTATAAATCAGGGCTGTTCAATTTACTTGACCCTGTGGGCTGGATACAGACTACAAGGCTTCCCATGGACCAGATGTCCCACCTTTAATGGCAAGGTGGCAACTTGTCAGGGTGGCTGCCAGAGCCACTGTGTTGGCACATCTCTGGAACTCAGGAGGTGAATGCTACCTACCACTTCTCACCTTCAAACTTTTTCCCTACTGCTGATTTGAGTCACTAGTGGCCACTGAAAACTCTAGAGGGCAAGGGGATGTGGGGGTGAGTGGTGATGTTCAGGCCCTGGGTTCTGGAGCTGCACTAACAAGTCAAACAAGGCACAGTTTAGCCCCTTGCAGTGTGCCAGTTGGACAGCCCTGACATAAACAATACAGCATAAAGCATAATAAAAAAGTGTTCATTTTCAGATGATTTTTTAAGTGGCATTAAATTCTATGAAACAGAGATTTTGCTTGTATTCAAAGTTACCCAAAAGATGAGAGTTTAAATCCCTTTAGTTAAACTGGTGCAAGTCTCTGTGTGGACAACATAAAACCAATTGAAATCTGACACTTAAGCTGAGGCCACCAAACCTAAGATAGGTTTAAATAGGTTAAGATTTTTCCAAGCAGGAAACAAAGGACAACAACACTCCAACTCTGCTATATCAGGGTGTCCAGAATGTAGAATAAGCTGTGCAATCACCTACCCTGAAAATCTTCTAGTGGAGACTAGACAGTCAGCTTCCTGGATGACCTGACCCCCAGTTATCTTTCCTGCTTGGTGCAGGGGGCTGGACCCAATGACCTTCCAAGGTCCCTTCCGGCCTTACAATCTATGAATCTATATAGGATTTCTCCTAGTTATCCTGAAACTCAGGCCAGTAACTTGTGACATGAATCTTACTTAAATCAGCACCAGCATGAGTGTAGGTGAGGCACAAGAGAAGAACTTACTCAACTTTCTCTTTGCTTAATTATGGAACTGTGAAATCAAAGTAAATCAAATGCCCCTGGTAGCTGCATGACATCTTTATTTCTGTTGGCAAGAGAAGCAGTATACACAGCAACATTGCAGTCTCTTAGCTCGTTAAAAATATCTCAATAAATAAAACAAATAAGCAACATGTACACTGGAACAGAAAATGAAAAAATAAAAAGGAGGTTTAGCTGTAGCAAATCATGGAGCAATAAGGAAGAGGAGATGGGAACGTGAAGAGCAGACTCTGTAATCCAGGCTTTACTTGAAATAAATCATGCAAGGTTTGAGAAGACAATTTTCTTTATCTTTCTGAGAGCCTTGGTCCAGTTTTGCTGTTACTGTACAAGAAATCAGTTTTGAATTTAAAAAATATACATTAAAAAAAGAATACAGCAAAGGGAAAATAAAATCCAAATCCAAAGATTTCTCATGTGTATTCCTGAATGAAGGTTTTTCAGAAAAAAAATAATTAAAAAACCCAGACACACACATGCGCACACACAAAAACTCAACAACAATAAACAATCATGAACATTGCTTCTCTTCTCTTTTCTTTTGGTCAGTCTCTTGGGGAGAGATGTTGCAAAGTTTCAGACCGTTTGCTTTGGTGCTGTTTTTCTGCTCAGTCTAAGTGCTCTGCAGGAGTTCAGAGCTAGGGAGGTCAAGAGGGGTCTTTTGGACCAGTTTACTTGAGGTTGTTAAGGTTTCAGAAGCTACAAAGTTGGATACATCCCAATTCCACTTCAGTCTCAGACACTGGACAGTCTAGGGAAAAAAGAAGAAAAATAAATACAGTTAGCACTGGACATCTTCCCACATGGATTTCTGTGATAACCTTTTCCTTTTACAAATCAATGCCACAATTCATGAAGGTTCCTTGTCATATGCTTAAATCTATTCCTGTTCAGGACAGGCCTTCAGTATATGCTTGAGTCTCATTGACTTTACTGAAATAATGTACATATTCAGCCCCCCACCTCTAGGAATTAACAGTCTATACATTAGGCCTCCACAAATTTTAAAATCTGGACCTCCCATTTCTATTTAGGATTAAGGTTAAGCACGTGATCAAGTGCTATTATGAATAGGGATACTTTTTTGAGGCAAGGAGGAAGCCCTTAGTACATACTGAGGCATGAAAAAGCTTTACTATGAGAGACTTCACTATGATGTTGAGTTAATTCCAGAGGAATTAACTGATCATAATTAACAGTTCCTCTGCCCTGTTGCTGAGTGACTGGTAGCACATAAACCTGCTTGCTTCTAGCAAACACCTATCCCAGGATGGTTATGGAGAGAGGACATCTGAACAGGTTTAACTTACACGAGTAGAGTTTTACTCCTGATTCTCCTTCAGCAGTAATTCTCGACTGGATTGGATGAAGGTTTCCCTGGTTTATGTCATTTGCTGCTTTTTTTACACTGGTTGCAAGTGTTTTGTTTATTAAGGGCCCCTGTGTAACAACTCATGCTCAGAGAGGTAAGGAAGGGGCCTTCAGTGTCTGGTTAATTTATTTAGCAAGGCTACAAATGAGAGTGAACATGAGAGAAATACATACAATAACGAGGAAGAAGTCACTCAGATGTTTCTGTTTACTGTCTCTTACCCCCACTAGCACAAGGAGGCACGGAGTCAAATTCAATGGCAGTACCTTTAAAACTGTTGAAAGCAAATATATTGATATGGTTGGCTAGTGGATCTCCCTGCAGAATAAACTTGAAAGCCATGAGTTTAGTGACATTACTGTGAATGATTAGAATATCTGGCTACTCTCAGTTTGTGAGAATAAGTGACTGGGTAGTACATAACTAGGCTGCATTTTAAACTGGATGCCAAATTGCAAATTTTAAGGCATCAACCATTTGCCTCTTGGGTTAGGAGGATGCTTCCCATGTAACCTTATTATCATGGGGGTTTTGCACCTGGCTTTGAAATATCTAGTACTTGCCACAGTTGGAGACAGGATACATGTCTAGATAGAACTGGGTTCTGGTCCAGTCTGGCAGTCTTTCCTTTTGGCCCCATTTGTCAAACATGTTAGAAGCTGTGCTGGGTGGTGTTTACTGACTAGTTCACCTGAAACCAGCATTTCCCTTTCTGACAGATTAGCACTACGTGTTGCCTGCCACAGTTGAACCCCATAGACTTCAGTGGGGAAAGGAAGTAGAAACTTCGCTTTGGACACGTGCCATGAGATTTATTTTGTATTGATGAAGAGGGCAATTTTGACCTACCACACAGATCCTTGTAACATTAGGTCCTAATGGGAGAGGACCATAGTACAGAATTTAATTTTATGAAATGGCATGCAGAAGTGCTTTTCATAATTACAGGTTAGATCCTAGGCGGGGTCCACACCCACTCTGCTGCTGGGTTTTGCCTTAGAGGCCCATTAAGCTGACCATAGGAAGACCATTTCACTCAGGTGTGTTTTCCGGTGGCAGAGAGGGGATGGTTAGGGGTTGAAATGTGGGTGGATTTCCCTATTTTGCAATAATCATCCAATGTTGTATCAGCCTCTTGACACTTCAGAGTGGGCCTATCCAACTTCTAAGTGGCCAAGGGCTGCACACCATATGGGCCATGTCAGTGAGGTCTACATGCCACACAGGGCATACCAACGTAGGCCCTTGGCTGCATGCCATGTGGCTACCCATGACAGCACCATGCTCCTGTGTAGGTGGCCAACCCCTCCACTGCACAGCATGTTCCCCTGAACTATTATATTGTGTACCCATGCAGGCCCCCCCACCCCCAACACTGTTGAACCACAGTTTGTGTGGCCCCAGCCTTACCTTCAGCTCCCCACACTGTGCTGTGCCACCCTGCTCCTGGGGTGGAGGCAGGAAGCAGAAGCCAGAGGACAGTGGGAGAGCCCAGAGGGAGAGCAGTGGCTGGGTGGGAGGTCAGGGGCCACAATTAACCTCTTACAGGCTAGGTGGCTAGCCCTGCTCCAGGCATATAGTCAAGCCATGATCAGGAGAATGCAAAAGGAACCTATGCATTTTGTCTCTCTGCCTGTGCTATCTGCTCCCTGGCCTTGGCACTGCAGTTACTATATCCTGAAAAAGATATTATTACTCTCTCAGCACACTAGGACATTTCCTTGACTCTGGACAGAAGGGATTTGAGGTCCTGCATTAACTAATTTGGGGACTTTAACCACTGAAGTGCTCTCAATCCTGGCACAAGCCCAAGTTGGGGTGCAGAACCTGAGCCACAACCGTTTAGTCCAGAAGCAAGATCTCTGGCACCCGAATGACAGTCATATCAACAGTTCTCACAAGAAAGACTCTCTCCAAGCTCTCAGTTCTAATCCTCAATGGGAGTTTACAAAACACCTTTCACAGACAAGCCTATGAACTTCACTTCATCAATGTACTGGATACAAAAAATCATGGACTAAATATAGACATTGGATTTATGGCACATTATAACATGCCTAACATCTGATT